TTTGCTACTCCATCAATTCTCTTGATATAAGTTCCCAGGTGAAGATTGATTGTAATAAAAGCTACTATCTCATTTGTTTCAATAATTAATCAGCTGAAACTAGCTAATTCAGAGAGAAAAAAAAATTATTCTCCGTTTTTCTCTTCTCCCACCGATTAATCCGAAGAGTCCGTTAAGCGGGGTTCAAATGTATGTATTTTATAGCGAATTTATTTTTGATTAGAATAGTATCAAAACAATTTGTCTGTGATTTACAGATCGGTATTACCACAGTTTTTTTTCCGAAAAAAAAAGTCTATTTTCAATCAGTGTGCGGCGCCCTGATGCTGTGCATTTTAATCTTACCATGTAGGGCCACTACTGAGTATCGAGTGTAACACATTCAGAAACTCTGTAATGCCCCGCTTCATGGCACTCCGATCCCTGATGTCACCTCTTCTACAATCGTGACGGAGGTGATCGCAGGACGAGCATCGACAAGTAGATTTGGTTCACGGCAGGTTAGTCATTCCATGGGAATAACAAGACCGGAGCAAAAAGAAAAGGAAGCCGGAATGTGACTCAGGAGATAGTCTTCTGCTACGGAAGTGCTTGACACTCTTCGGGAGCGAAATGCTGGTGGTCTTCGGCTTTTTCACAGTTCGTGCTCCGTCAAAACCCTTAATACACGATTACATGAGTTTTGTTATCCTTGATAAGAAACTAACAGTGATAAGAGTCGCAACAGGACGTGTTGAACATAAAAGCTAACATTTAATTTTTATATAACTTTTGCTATCGTTGTGCTCGTCCAGAAGTTTTTATTGACTAAATAACGGATTTAGAGGATATTAATAAGCATTAAATTATTACAATTCGTCTAAAACTTCGTGAGTTGTCATTTTCAAGCTGGAGATAGGTAAAACTTAAATTTAATGAGGTACTAAAAACTAATGAATGTCTATTTGCTTTTCATTTCAATAGTAAGATAGTTTTATTACAAAATCTAGAATAAAAAGTGGCTTACAAAAATATTTTACCGTTTGACCATTTTTTATCGATTTTGTGATCAAATTATCTTGCGATTCAAAGTGGAAAGCTCATGATTATTCATGAGATTAGTGCCTTATTAAATGTAATGTTTACGGATCTCCAGATCGAAAATGCCCCATTTCTGAGAATCTTCGATGAAAAAAGTTATAGTTTACGATAAAATAACTCACGAAGTTAAGTTTTAGACGAGTGTTAATAATTTGATAAAAAGGGGGTCCGTACAACGATCTATGACAAACAATTAATTAATTGGAGAGTAGAAAAGACTTTCAATTAATTTTTGTTTAAAATTTAGGTATAAATAAAATAAAATAAATCTTAGCACTTTATCATTTACAAGGAGACAGACGATCTACCTCTACTTCAAGTATTTCTAGCCGTTGACTTATTTTCAATATGGAAATGCTTCAGCCATCAATAATTTATTTTTCACTTACATCTATCCAACGTTAGTCACCATACGTCCTGTAAATTACATTCGAGAGAAGTCATAAAGCACAGGGTGACGGCAAAGACTGGTTCTTAGCTTGCCATTTTATTTTAGTCATCTTGAGGTTAACCGATTACCGTCATTGCGATCTCATCAAATCTTTATTTAAATAATCGAATATGAGAAACAGCCCATATAATTGACCGTACCATATAATGTCAGATTAATGATTCTACAACGTCAAAGTTTTATTTTTAAATATACATTACTCCCTGATTGTTATTACGATTTAATTAAAGAGGATAGTTTTTGTCTAAATTTAAAATTTTAGTCCGAGAAACATAAGGATTAAAATATTTTAATTTGATGATAATAATTTGTGAATTGGTTCACCGATCTCAGAATTGTTTATGTCCATTCATGTTTACCTGCTGTTCTTAAACTGTCCTTAGGAAAGGAAAGTTACTAATAATATATGACTGGAAGTCGAAACGAACTTAGTTCCTTAAGACTAGATAATTAGAAGTTAATAGATGAATTAATTGTGATTCATTCGGTGAACGACCCACCAAAGAAGTAATGTAAAGACGGCCAAAGAGCTAATTACATTCTATCATTGATCAACAGTAACCAGCTCCCGTACCTACACATGATGTGACCTGTAACCACGATTTCTTAATTACCTTTAGGTGCATAAATACAAACTATGCGTTACATTATCATCAATTATGCCTAAAGATACGCATGGATGCACTCGTCCGAATAATACCCTGCAGCTTGCATAAACGTTTGCCGAATAAAAAGCACAATGCGAATAAGTTGTAGTAAGGCATAAATTATTTGAAAAATTCGGTGATAAGCGAAAAATTTTCATTTTCACTTTATTCATTGCATAAAATATGAAAAATCACATAGTTCTATGAAAATTTTCTAATTATTCATGAAAATAGCCAAGTAGGTTACAAGGTTATTGCAGCTTCCTTTGACGTCAACGGATCTTATCATGAGGCCAGGTAGAACAGATAGGGGCACCAGGCATCGCAAATTTGATCTGAAACAACCAAGTATAGCCATATAATATTTCCACAATGATTATCTAACGTTTAGATGCACCTGGGATATTAATAAATATAACCAGTTTTAAAGAAAAAAATATTTCGTAGAAAGGAAGGTGTTAGAATAGTCAAGGATTCAATCGGAAGGTTAATGGAACAAAAATGTCATCCCAAAGTGACTGTAAATCGATTCGTTTAGAACAATGGATAATAAATTATTAATACTTTTTATAGTGTTTACGACCTTCAGACCATTGTTTAGTTCGATGAAACACAAAACATTTTTCTTTCAAATAATAAATGGACATAATTTATTTTTTGCAAGCACACCTTTCTGGACATTTTGTATCATATCCGCAGCTATCATATGATAGTTCTCCTTTCTCCAACTAAAGAGAGTTCCAGTATTTTTTTTTCAATAAAAATAAATAAAACCCTAACCTAATGGGAATTAAACCGCTCTTAAAACCGGAAGCTTTTGACCATTACGTCTTCAATGCGATTGGAGGTTAATTGCCACTTCTCTCACTACCTACCTATTATGCATGCTGTCTAAATCATTATCCTATTTATTTTAAAATAACCAATATTGATTATAATACAATTAGTATTATAATCAATATTGATCATTATAAAATCAACCCACAATCATGAAAAAAAAAATAATAACATAAAATAAAAGCTATGTCTACATCATTATCCTATTTATTTTTAAATGACCAATATTGATTATACATATTGATAATCAATATTGATCATTATAAAATCAACCCAAAATCATGAAAAAAAAAATAATAATAATAAAATAAAAATAAAAAGCTATGTTTACATCATTATCCTATTTATTTTAAAATGACCAATATTGATTATAAATAATACAATTAGGATTATAATCAATATTGATCATTTTATAATCAACCCACAATCATGAAAATAATAGATAACGTCTTCCAGTTTTTAATGTATGAAATATTTTATTGTAGTAATTGTTATTATAACAAACTTACTAAATATGTTATTTATTCGAAATTGTCTGCACTCTAAAACAATAATATTCTTCTATTTCGTGAATTATTTATTTCTTTTGAAGAAATATTAGATAGTTTAGAACATATCGGCTAAATAACTCTGTCATCCATTCTCGGTTCCCTACCCTCTATTAATTTCTAATGGCATTTAAAACTGTTTTTTATATTTCGTTTATATTTATAAAATACGTTTGTTCTTTAATCACATTCCAATGCAGTAAACACATTTTTTCTTTCTGAATTTATAAATTACATCTACGAAAATTTTAATATTCCACAATAATTTCTTTTAGTTTTTAATTTTCTTCATCATTAATTATATCACCCCAAATATTTACGCTTAAAAATAAATTGAAATATATTAGTGAAATGAAGGAAATGATGGCCCGAGTGTAAATCAAGAAAAGAATATCAAGCAGTAAAAACTATTTATTAAAAGCCTACTTTTCGTCTCATATTACAGGTTTCATCAGGACTTGATTAGGAGCAATTTGGTAAAATAAGGATTGTCAGTCTGATGATGCGTTTAGACATTTCACAAACTACGCGAAACACAATTATTTAACTTAACTAATTAGCGGCATTAGCGCTAAGCCCAACTTTTTTTTTTATTTCTTTTCACTAACAGCAGATGAAAAACATCGGAAACATAAACACTGGGATAGAGAAAAAAACATTTAATTATTTGTGTTTCACATAGTTTGTGAAACGTAAAAGCTCACCTTGAGATTTTTTCTTTTTACTACAACCTGAACCATCTAATCATTTATAAATATATATAATATTAAATATGTTAACTTGAAATGTAAAACCTTAAATTTTGGGGAGAGGTATTGAATTTTTTATATCTATCGATTACAAAGTCCCATATATTTTTATACTCCCATATTTGCACAATGAATCACAATTTTGTGGATAAAATAATTTAATCGTATTAAATAATTAAGGCTCGCGCACACAGAACGCGATATGTCTGGAAAATATATCTCTGTCCGCGGCTATTTGGCGATGTTCATCTCATATGGAAATCAATGAAGTGATAACAGCATTAGCTGCCACTTATAACTTATCGGTCTGAAATAGATTGCCAACAGAGTTTATTATTAGCACTAGACAGTCTGGTTTATTTATTAGATTAACTCACTGTTAGTCCAGGCTAAATCTCGCGAAATCCAAAGCGATTGTTTATATTGGTAGAACATATAAAATGTCTAGCTATAAAAGTTTCTACTTACCTGACATTCTAAAATTAACTTTTCCATTCAGGGACCGGCGATTTCGCAACCAATATGAATGAATGTTAGAGAACCCGGTAGGTCATTGGCCATCCAGATTATCCAATTGATTACGCAAACTTAGTCATTTAGTACGGTTCAACATTTACAATTTTTCCATTGTAAAAGTTTGCGATACAAATAAACCCAGACAAAAATGTTTATCTTTAGATATCAGGCTTATCAAAGCCCTTATCAAAATAGGAACGAGTAGGAGTAGAGATGCTGGAGGAGGTTACAACTAAGGCATAGAATGTCTGATATGCCTGCTTAGGTCTTAAGTTTTATCTTTATTTCTCGAATTAATTTCGATGATTATTCTTCCATTAACGTAGCCGATTATTAGGCTATTAATTCTGTTGTCGTTCCTATAATGCTGTAACGTTTTAAATTTTTATCATAATGTAAGGATCATCCACAAGCTGTTTTTTATGTTTTCATTTATCTCTTCCTGTTTTATTACATTGATGTTAGTGTAGTCGTTGATTATATTTTATCATAAATCTTTCTGATGTGCTTTTCAGGTTTTTATTTAAATTAATTTTATTATTTTATATACCAACGATATATTGTAAAGTTGATTACTATGAACTCCTGGGTGTCAAAAAAACAGCCACTACCCAGGAAATCAGAAGGGCTTTCAAACAATTAGCAGTTAGCTTACATCCAGATAAAAATCAGGTAAGATACATAGAGTGGCTTATTTTATTTCCTTGCATTTCATTTGTTAATAGCATTATACTTTTATTCTATTTTTCAGGATGATCCTGAGGCACATGAGAAGTTTATAAAAATTACTCGTGCCTATGAAGTTCTTAAAGATGCAGAAAAACGAAAACATTATGACATTCATGGCGAAGATGAGAGCCAACAAACCAAACCTCAATATCATAGCTACACCTATTATAGAGATCACTTTGGTATTTATGATGATGACCCTCACATAGTTACCTTAAGTAATGCTGACTTCGGTAAGTGAAATTCAAAATATTTATTACATGATACTTAAGAATTGATTTTAAAATAATTACATTTATTTGTATGCAGTCATTTGAAGATCAACTGTTTTATCAAATCAATACTTCTGTTTGCCATGTTTATCACTTAATTTAGATTTTTAATATAATCTAAGTGATCGTTAACCTTCTGTTAATAATCCTGATATCTTAATTGTAAAAATGTTAGTTTAAAATAAAACCATAATGCTCAATTTTTAATTTTTAAATATGTTAATGAGTAGGCTTGAGTTAGAGCTTATAGTTAACATTTATTGGAAAATCCAATAAAATAATAAAACATGTTATCATTACTTTTTGTATTTGAAAAAATCAAATCCTTTTCAAACATCATTATAATAATAAACATTATACTTTTCCTTGTACACATAGACCTTTTTTGCATCAATGAAATTCTGAATAAATTCTCTATAAACGCAGTGTTTTTAAATCTAATTTAGAAAATATATTGAAACATAATATTAAGAATGAAGATATTAATATTTATTTTCATGAAAGTGGCTTTATTTTGAGCAGGGGTCACCAAACTACAGCCCGCAAGCACCTTCAATCCAGCTCACAAAAGTTTCTTTGATTGCGTAGTATTATTTAAAAAATATGAAATTAGCAAATTACTCACTCACAAGGTTCCTACAACATTTAGTGCATGGAGTTTTTCTCTTAAAAAGCTCATTTCAAAGCGTCATTTATAGAACAAGATTTATTTTTTCATCACAAGCTATGACCTGTGGGACTTGATTGGAGGTCTCAATATGGCTCGCCGGCCATAAGTTTGGAGACCACTGATTTAGAGTATAAAATATTTTACTTTTGAAGGTTGTGTAATTATTACTTGGTATGTAATTTTGATTTATATACTAAAATGTTAATGCACTCAGATTAGATATTATCTGAGCACAATAATTTTGCTATGTATTATATGATACTTGATATTTGTAATTATTATTATTGTGATTTTCAGAAAATAATGTTGAGAGTTCTGATGCTCAATGGTTCATTAATTTCTATTCACCTATGTGTGGGTCTTGCCATAAACTTGCTCCAGTATGGAGGGCTTTAGCCGAAGAAATGAATGGAGCAGTATATTTTGGGGCTGTGAATTGCGAAGAAGACTGGTCATTGTGTAGGGAACAAGGAATTAATTCTTATCCTACCCTTGTATTTTATCCATCTGTGAGTTATTCTTGATATTAGAATTAATTAATGTAATTGTTTGAAATAAGTTTGGTTGAACCTCTAGAACAACCCTCCCCTGTCTCCTCTTGTGTGGCAGAAATGATGTGGTAGAGGGTATTAAAAAAAAATAATGTTTTTTTTTTTAATTTAAAAGTGATTACATTTCAATGATGTTTTTATTTTTAGATTGAACTGTGTACTTTATGCGATTATAAACATTTATTATAAGATCTATGGTAGATCACTTTATTTATCTTCTGTCTGTTCAATTAGTAAATAATGGTATTAATTACTGTTCAATTTTCATACCTTAATATTCGAAAGTGTGTTGAAGCAAAGATGGATAGATTAAATATCCTCAATTTTATTTTAGAATATTTTGAAGATCATGCAACAATATTTGTTTATAGCTGGCCAAAAATTAAAACTAGTCGTAAATCTACTTCAAAAACAAATTAAGATTTTTATGAGACTTCTTGTTTGATCCATTGAAGTGAATTAAAAGTTATGTCTGGAAATAACTAAATTAAGTCAGTGGTACTCCTATGATCCTCTAGGCTTCCATAGACCTTGGACAATAAGTCAGCAATTAAATAGAAAAAATATAATTATTTAAAAAATATATGCATTTTTACATTATTCAATAAAAAAGTAACTGGAAACTACGTGCTTGTATCTTATGATAAGTTTCTGTTTTAACATCAATTCACATTTAAAGTATGTGAACATTTCTTTGTATCTTTCATTTTATTGTATTCCTTGTAGGCAATGTGCCTCTTATAAAGGAAGAGAGTTGTAAGCGAAGAAGAGGTAACATGTGATAATTATAATGTAGTTTCCTTTAAACATTTTTAAAGTAATTCCTATTTCTTGTTGGAAACCACACATTTCTTTGATAAATGAAAATAACAAAATACTGAAAACTGACAAAATTGTTACTATTTCATTTTTCATATTCTTGTTAGACATATACAAGAGCTAATATATGGATATAGATATGGTTGGTTATGCTCTATTGGTTATTGTTAAGATGGTAGTTTTATTATTATTGTTATGTATTTCAGTTTTGCCCCAATGTCATTTTATTTTTCAGAATGAAGTTTTATATGGAGCTAAATCAAGGGGAGACTTAGAGCGTTTTATAATGGATCGCTTAAAGACAGATATGATTTATGTAAGCTCGAGAGAGACTTGGGATGTAGAGAAGGAAACACATTCCAGTTGGTTGCTTATACTATCACCTCTTTCCTCTGCTACTAAGAAGCAGAAAATAATTGCTGCAATGCTGGTATTTTTTATTATATTTCTCTTCAATTTCAGTTGTCCAGTTTGTTATTAGTTTTTAAGTTTCTTCTTTTATAGCGCGGCTTGTTGGGCATTGCTCTTATCTCGTGTAAGAAGATGCCTTGTGCCGAATGGAACACAGAAGATGGCCTTATGTACCTGACTAAATCTGCTCATAATATTTGGGCCTCTGCTCCCATCCGTGCCGAGGAACCTCGAGCTGTGCTTGGAGAAGTACTTAACATTCTGCCGGGTTTACAGAAAATTGATGATGAAAAATTTCAGGTAAGTTGTCATAACTTTTTTGATATTGTTGACTTGTCGCTAGATTAGTTTTAGTTTTATCCTAAGCTTAGATAAATTTACGTGTCACCCTGGGAATAGGTCTTACACTCTATAAATTGGCAGCAAACAAGACCATAAAAGAAAACTATGCTAGCGTAATTGCCTAGTTTTTCACATTATTTGATGTTATTGATTCTTGATCTTATGTTATTACACCAGGAACATATAGAAATGATTATTTGGTAGATTGGTGATAAGACAAGTCATCTAAGAAAACAATTCTAGAGAGGAGAACCGCCATACCAACATCTGATCACTATAATATTACATTTTCAGACAATTCAAATAAATTTAAATTATAATGATGATAAAAATATATTACATTTAAATTTTAACTTTCTTTTAAACAAGAAAGTGCAGTATATATGTTTATTAGTTGTAAATTAATATATTCTGCCACATTGGAGAGCATTAATATTATGGCTACATTAAACATTCACACAATATGAACATACAAATGATAACTAAATTAGAGATAAATGAAATGAATTGTAAAAAATAAAGTAAGAGAATACATATGTAGAAAAAAAAAGATAGAAACTAAATGAAATTAAAATAGATATAACACATTTACACCTATTACAACGGTAGAAGATCAACTACAGATATGACAGATGGTGTTTTATTTTATATTGTTTTTTCTATCAAAGAGATTGTGAGATATTGCACATGGGACACATTTTATTCCTAACAGAAAAAAATTTGTGTGATGTAGCATTTTAAATTTATATTTTAAATTTCAATTGTATATGCCTTCTATGAAAATGTCTGAGATGTGAAGCACTCAGTAATATTTTAAAGACTTCTTATAACCATTCCGTTTTAGACCAGTTAAGGATTAGAGAAAAGCCAGAGAAAACTCATTAGAACAGGTGATGTGCTAAAAGAAAGTATCCCGAAAATACCGTACTGGAGAAGAATCCTTTCTCTTTTAAAAATAAAATTCTTAATTTTTCATTAAAACATTTTGTTGTATATCGATTTACAGTCGATTCTCGGTAATTATAAATCCAAGAAACTACAAGAAAATTCGAATTATCAAGACTTCAAATTCATAGGTTTTTTTTTTTTTTTTTTTGTGGATACAATCTTTACCTGCTATCTAGATGAGTAATATAGCTATAGTGAATGACATTTTTTTCTTTAAATTTTAATGAAAAAAATGTTTCAAAGTTTGAATGATTAAGAGGAAAAAAAAAATCCAATGATTAAAAGTTTTTATTATATTTTAGGAAATAAGTACGACATTACATAAATTTTACGTGTACTTAGCCTCATGTTAAAAATATTACTAGGAAAATTTCAATTATAAAGAGAAGTGGTCTAGTTCGAATTATAAAACTTTCTCTCCCCATCTTATCAAAGATATCAAAATGCAGCATTTTACAGTGCTACATCCTACACTCTGATGAAGACCTGCAAAGTGGGTTGAAACGTCAGTAAAAATTAAATAATACTATTTGTTTAATTTAGTATTTATTTTACCGCACCCTCTGATCAACTCCTTCTCATATTACATCAACGGTCAACCATCTTGTAAGTGAAAATAAGAAATAAGAAATTTATTCTTTTCTTCCACTTAGGATCTGATTGCTCAACTGCAGCTGGGATCTGAAACACCTTGGTTGATATACTTCCACATGGGCCCTGTTACGGACCTCGACACTGAGGTTAAAAAACTGCCTGCCCTTTTGAGCAACTTTAAAATTGGTTAGTTCTTTATATTCTTATGTGCAATATTTAATTTAAGTTTATATTAAATGTATAATTTTTTTCTTGATTTTTTAATTTCAAGTGATTTCTAATGAAAGAATATCATCCATTTATTGCAAAAATTCACTAAGTACATTTTTGAAGGCACTGAACTTTTAACAACGTTTTTGCGAATTGTGGCCTCATGTATTGATATAAAGACAGAGTACGTGCACTCAAATGATACAAAACCTTTTGTATTTGAAATGTAGGTACAATAAGCACACAATTTTCTTATTTCACAAAGAGAAAATTCATCACAGTTCTTGGTGATTTAAGGTTATGAAATGTGACTTAAACTGACTATGTGTTGATGTTCTTCAGGTTTTTTTTTTTTTTTTTTTTTTTTTTTGTGGATACAATCATAACCTGCTATCTAGATGAGTAATATAGCTATAGTGACTGACATTTTTTTCTTTAAATTTTAATGAAAAAATTTTTTCAAAGTTTTGTTCATTAAAATTTGGAAAAATTCATAAAGTAACATTTTATCAAATTAAATTAGAACACCATGAGTGTTGTGGAAATATTTTTGGCATGTAATATGTTTGGTATTATTTTGATGCACTTAATGAATTATTGTGTTGATAAGTATAATCAAAATTAAAATATATGTGCTTTAATTAAAGTTTAGTTCCATCAAAAACGGACTTAGAGACTTTTTGCAATAAACTGATCATATGTATTATCAGATAAGTAGAATGAAGGCATGCATCATCAATTATTGACGTAAAGACTGCCCGTGGACCTAATTGTGACTCAGACCACTTCTCCATCAAAGTAAAGTTTAGAGAACGATTAGCCTACGTAAAGTCCGGGAGTCAGCATTATAGGAAGAAATGGGATTTGGAAAAATTTAAACCTGAAGATATCACTGTGCAAGAATCTATAAATGATAAGCTAACAGAGAATTTGAAAGGAATTGGAATTGGAGAAGTTGGAGAGAGATGGCGTAAAATTAGAAAAGCTATTGAGGAATCTGCAGATAAAGTGATTGGAGAGAGTAGAGAAGTGAGGAATGGTTCGATGAGGAGTGTGCAGCAGCCCTAAACGTTAGAAATGAGTGTAAATTAGCTGTACTCCAACGCTCCACCAGACAAAGCTATACTGCCTATAATGAGAGCAGAAGAAAGGCCAAAAAGATTATTAGAAAGAAAAAAAGGGAATTCTTAGCAAAGAAGATTGAACAAATAGAAGAACTGAGGATGAATAATGAAACAAGGAAATTCTATGAGACTGTCAGATATATGAACCGTGGATTCCAACCTATGGTCGATGCATGTAAAGATAAAAATGGATTCAAGGGACGCTTCCCAGCTGCGTACTACCTAATAGACATTGGTTCCAGGCATTAGTTTGTAGAAGACAATGTATGTCCCTTTTGAGTAATTATGAGACTTAATTATTTTTAAACATTGCCATTTTCCTATGTAGCTAATACAATAATAAAACACTAAAAAATTTTTTCTTTATTTGTAGGAAGGATAAATTGTGGCCGTCATACTAATCTATGCCAGACTTTATCTATTTCTAGATATCCTCTCTTCGGTGTTTTTAAGGTAAATGATTTATCATATAAAAATTTGTAGAGTAACTAGCAACATTGAAGTTATATTAATGAATAATTTGAACACATAGACAAATGACTTGTCTCAAATAAGTTAATTATATAGTGGCCACAACTGGTAAACTAAAAAAAATTATTTTATCTATTTATATTTGTTTTAGGTGAAATTATTTATAATAATATAAAGTAAGGCTATGTATATTATTTCACCACCTTTATTTTCATTTTACATTGGCAATTCCAAAATAAAAAATATATAACACGCACTAGACTTTCAACACACAGTACCCAACAGAAAAATAATTTTAACTTTAATAACACTGAAAAAATAACAAGTAAAAAAAAAGTTGCTATAAACGAAAAGTTTTAGAATGAATTTATATCACTAAAAATCCTGATACAGTGTGCAATTTTCAGGCAGACACAAAAGGTCTAAATATTACATATGCCAATATCATTACCAAATTGGAATTCTAATGAAAAATATCTTAAACAGTTTAATAATAAGCATCATTAAATCAAGTAAGGATGTCATAAAATTCATAATTTGACGCTAATTTTATTTTTCTTCGATATTTATATATTATCTGAGCCATTAGTTTTTGAAAATGATGTCCATTTTAAGACAACGCTACTGCGTTGCGACTTATCTGAGTTTTTCGCATTTCTTCGATATAAGGGTCGATTTATATGTTTTCGGAGTCATAGTTTTTGAAAATGATGTCCATTTTGAGATTATGTACAGCGTTTCGTCTTATTTAAGTTTTTTTGCATTTTTTCTATATAAGGATCCAATTATGTTTTCAGAGCTGTAGATTTTGGAAATGATTCCATTTTAAGACTATGCCACTGGGTTTCATACAAAAATGTTATTCCATATGAAAGAAATCTGAAAAACTCTAATAAGTCAAAACGCAGTGGCGTAATGTCAAAATGGACACCATTTTCGAAAGCTACAGCTCTGAAACATATAAATAGCCCCTCATATAAAAGAAATCTAAAAAACTAAAATAAGTCAAAACGCAGTGGCGTTATTTCAAAAAGTACATCATTTTCGAAAACTATGGCTCCGAAAACATATATATGAAAGAAATCCGAAAAACTCCAATAAGTTAAAACATAGTGGCATAGTCTTAAAATGGAAATATTTCCAAAATCCACAGCTCTGGAAACATAATTGGACCCTTATATAGAAAAAATCTGAAAAACTTAAATTAGATGAAATGCAGTGGCATAATCTCAAAATGGACATCATTTTCAAAAAAATGGCTCTCTGACATATAAATCGACCCTTATATTGAACATATCTGAAAAACTCAAATAAGCCCGAAGCAGTGGTGTTATCCTAAAATGGTGATCATTTTCAAATAGTACAGCTCCGAAAAAATATAAATTAATCCTAATATTGAAGAAATACAAAAAATTCTTATAAGGCGTATTCCTAAAATGGACACCATTTTCAAACTGTGGCCCCTAAAACATATAAACAGACCTTAATATCGAAGAAATCCATAAAATTACAAAGAAAATTATTCGAATTGTATTTTTATCTTAAATAACGAATAATAGATTATAGATAATGCACATTATCTTTAAATAACAAATAATCATCTGTCCAAAGGTCATCAAATAAGAATAACGAATAAATGTTTATCTATTATTTCTTATCTAGATATAATTTCAAATAATTTATTCGAAAAACGCCCAACACTGTTTGAAACCAACAAATTGATATAATTTTTTATTGAATGCTAGCCTGGTGGTGGATGGGAGTTTCATCATGGCAGTGAAACAGCTCTTGGTGTTGCAGCATTTGCAAAAGAAGCAGCTGCAGCAACTAATATTAGAACTATTGGAGAAGCTGAATTTTTGTCTGAAGTTAGACGTGGTGGTGAGTTTCATTCTAAAGTAATTTTTTTTAAAAATTTATTTTGAATTATGGGTTATTGTTATCTGATGGTATCAACATAGATTGTAATCCGGTTTGTAATTAGGTCTGTTTTTTGTTGACTTCTACGCACCTTGGTGTCCCCCTTGTCTGCGCCTATTGCCTCAGCTACGAAAAGCCTCTCTTTCCTTCACACCTGGCGAGATCTCCTTCGCCACGGTAGATTGTACAGTCCATCGTGACCTCTGTGCTAACCAAGGTGTGAGGTCCTACCCAACTACTCTCCTCTTTAATGCCACACGGAGACCACAGAGCTTCAGGGGACATTCTGCTGCTAGTATTATAGAATTTGTAGAAGATATACTACATCCTCATGGTGAGTTATTTTACTATAAATTTTATTTTATTCTTTTTCTGTAAACACATACTATAAGTATGATTATTAACATGAGCACTTGTAATAGATGAATTAATTTTTTTCTTGTTTAGTGATCGACCTGAGCATAGATACATTTTATGAAACTGTTGGCCGTAAAACAAAAGGAACTATATGGATGATAGGATATTTCATGCCGTGGTGTGGTCCTTGCCAACAGCTTGCGCCTCACTATAGAAAGTTAGCTAAGGTTTGTATTATTTAATTAAAAATATTTTCACTCAAAATATCTAAGCCGATAAAAAAATTCTTTTGTTTCACAGACGGTTGCTGACATACCATTTGTTAAAATAGCTGAAGTTAACTGTGAAAATGAACCATACCTTTGCCAGGAAAGAGGGGTGAGAAGTTACCCACATATCGAACTACATCCCTATGAGAATGAGGGTGTATCTAGTGTTGTGTAAGAATTTTATTAATAATTTTTTTTGTTGTAATTGATTTTTTTTAAAATCTGGTTCATTGCATCTCACAGATTTTTACTTACCCCTCTGCTTTGAGTAGAAAATTATTTTAAACAAATTAATAAATTTTAGAATATTAATTTAACTATTAAAATAGTCTAATGACAACTATTATATAAAATTTAATAATCTCGTGCATTAGTTATTTTGGAGTGCCTTGCTGAAAATAAATTCTAAAAGTTTTCATTTAGTTTCTCTGGAAATCCTCTTTGGTTTCTGTTGAAACATTTATTTTCTATTCATTAATACAAAAGTAAAAATTATTAACTATAACATTTAGGTTTTAATCATTAGATTTGGGTCACTTCCTATCTCCTATAGCTTTAAATGATAGATATTAATTTTTTTTAAATCTTCAGCTTTTCAACGGTATATTGTAAAATCTATTTATATTACTACTCTTATTCGTAACAATTTGTTTTCAATGCTTTTTTATCTTTTTTATCCCCTACCTCGTTATTTTTTTACATATAGGGGATTGGTTATAGAGGTACAACCAAACCTATTCTAACCAGAGTGGAAAGATAAAGATTCATTCCATGGGTCCACCACTAACACCATGGAAAATAAATTTTAACCTGCCCAGACTGGATTCGAACCGGCATCGTTAGGCTCAAGAATGTTAATGTTTATCGAACATCTCGACCTCAATAACTATTTACAATGGGAGGTGGTTAACTAGTTTAAATCGATAAATCTAAAGGTATTACAGAGGAAGAAATTTTGAAAATTCAGCATTTAGGATTTGTTAGACTATTTCATTGAGGAAAAGACCTAGCTGATATTAAATTGTACTTTAATATAATGAGTTTATCAAAATTATCAGAACTATTTTCGAGGAAATTGTGAGAAAAGTGTAAAACCAACTTAAAAAATTGTTACTTCTGGTGGGTCAATTTTATATAATAGGGGACCTTAAAATGTTAATTTCCTTTTGAAAACTCGGATTCAAATTATTTCATGATCACAATATTTTCCACCAACATGGGAACCACAAAAAATATATTTTGTACTTTTATTTTTATTATCATTCATATTGTATTATTGCAAAAGATCACTAAGCAACATTTCATAACTTTTACTAATTAAGAACTTTGTACAATTTTTCCTTTATGAAATCAGAAAAGCATGTTCTTGCAACTATATGTGATTTATAACAAGGTTTGTTTAATTTTCATGTCCTCACATTGTTTTTGTATTGATAAATAAAAAGTCGAAATCCATAAAAACGTTTTTGAAAGTTAACCTATATCAAAAATCCACTTAATGACTTTTTGCAATAAACCGACGATATACTTATCTAAATGTATAATCATTTTTATTTGAATAAAATTGAATAAGTATTTCCAATTTATTTCCTAATTTTTTTAAAATGGACTATTTAGTAAGTACACAAAAATGTTTAATGAATAAATAAAAATGGATGGATATGTTTCTTTAGTTTTAGTTTTTAGATTAGTTGTTTATTTTGATCTTAGACTAAAGGAAATTACAAAAAAAAAGTGTGGTATTTCTGCTATTTACCTTTTCATCTGTTACAGCGTATTCAATGGTTTTCAAAGGGATTTTCAAACACTGAGGAGATGGTTATATAATTTTATACCATCACCAGTGGTAGAACTGACACCGGAACAATTCTCCAAAATTTTATCTGGATCTAACTCCAATCATTGGCTCGTTGACTTCTATGCTCCATGGTGTGGCCATTGTATCAGTTTTGAACCAGACTACATATCTGTTTCAAGGGTAAGTTGTAAAAAACTTAATTTAACATTTGAAATTAATTGTAAAATTTGAAAAAAGAAAAAATGAGAGAGGAGCTGGTATTTGAAACAGTCTATGAACACAGCAATAATTTTGTTCAAATTAATATGTATTTAGTTTTCCAAAAAAAAAATCATAACCATTTCAGAGGTTTTCGGAAATGTTGGCCATCAATGCTTATGTTAATTTCAGTGAGTTGATTACACCTTTTGATGGGTTTTTGAGGTTTTACCGTTTAACCAGGACCAAAAGAGATAGTAAAATTCCTGAACATTGTTAAGTTTGATATCAAATATGTGTTCAATCTGCAACTAATATACTAATTTCAATGTCTACTAGAATTATGCCTACTCTTAATTATATATACCAGATTAATCATCATTCGGACACTTTGTTATTTTAAAAGATTGTTGTTTGGCCAACTTTATTGGGTTGCTACAGACACAGCATACTAATAAATCTGTTGGCCAATATTTAAAAACTTATACATAGAATATAGTACCATTTATATATATATAAATATAGAAAATGTATATATTTGTTGTACATTCATTTCTTTTTTTTACATTCAGTTTAAATTTTTTTTTTTTACATTTTTTCTGTTTTGTTCTTCCTTTTTTTTTTTTTGTTACCTAAGATTTATCTAACAACTAACAGGATGACATATTTATAAGTACGTATGCAAGGTGTTCTGTAAGTAGAGGGAAATTTGTATAGCAATGGTAGTAAACCTCAAGAGCTACAAAAAAGTTCATATAAACAATTGGCCAATTTTCAGCAGAAAAGTATGAAATTAAATTCAAGTTTTGTATTTTTTCAAGTGTCGTGTTTTTTGTTGAATAGGAAGCACTAACTAAAGAAATATTGAATTTAAGTAATTGATTATTACTTCACTGTAAACTAGATAAAATTTACTTAAAATGGAAATAGACTTCCATTATTAGAACTATTATAAAAGAGAACTTTTGAGCGGCTAAACTGAGCCAAGTTCTGTTTAACAAAAAAACCGTCCTCGTTTTATAAGCTTTAAGTCCCTTTTAATTATTATGAAATTTATTAGAGAAAAATTTGAGTTTCGCCTGAAGCTGTGTGAAAAAATTATGAGGTTTGAAATCCTGTTTTCAGTTATAAATACTACTACAATTGCCTGTTGTGAAGCGATTATTGTTTGCTCTAGAATGTAGCATAATAAATATAATTGCCTAAATGCATATTTATTTATAAAAAAAAAATTATACAAATAATGATTTTTCAAATATTTTTCCAGTAAAGCGGTTATGGGGAAACAACAGTGTTTTTCTTCCAGATCTCTGTCATAGGAATTGATCCGTATTTATAAGCTACAAAGTTAATGTTCCTGATTCTAATATTTATGTTTTCATGAAATAATTAAAGTTTATGTATTTTAAAGGTATCTTTTAGGACTTGAAATAGGTACTTTTAGGAGACAGGATTAAAAATCACACAACTTTTTATTACACAACTTGAGATAAATTTCAAGTTTTTGCTTAATAAACCTCAGCTTAATTAATATGGACTTAAAGCTTATTAAACTAGGAAGTTTTTCTAATAGTGAGGTATCTGTAGTATAGTTTTTTTATGATTAAAAAAAATCGCTAATAGTTTATGATTTCAAATTAAAAAAACATAGCATAGTTTAGCTACTCAAAACTCCTCTTTGATTTTTTTAAATAATAACAAACCCTATTTCCATTTGAAGTAAATTGTATCTAGTTTACAATGAATAATTATTAATAACTTAAATTCAATATTTCTTTATTTATCGCTTCCTATTCAACAAAAAGCACGATACTCGAAAATACAAAACTTGAATTTCCTATTTTTCTGCTGAAAATGGGCCAATTGTTTATATGAACTTTTTTGTAGCTCTTGAGATCTACTATCATTGCTATCAAAATTTACCTCTATCTACGGAACACCTTTAATTTTCTATAATATAATAATGACATAAAAAAGGTAAATAGAATAGAATCTAAACTAACATTTTTGCATCCAACTGAAATTAACATATACAATAGTTGAATAAACATACTTTATTTTGTTCATTTTATTTTTTCAGAAACTTGAAGGAAAGATAAAAAGTGGAAAATTGAACTGTGAAATGTATCCACATCTTTGTCAAAAAGCTCAAATTTCTGGTTATCCCACTGTCAAATTTTTTGGCGGCGAACACAAGAGAGGAATCGAAATTCATAGTCAAAATCCAAAAATTATACTAGAGTCTGTAGAAACTTTGTTGAAAAAGACTTCCAGATTCATTGATGAACTTTAAGGAATTTTTAATTGAATTTAAGTATACAAGAAATTAGTTCCTACAAGTTTTACACTTTTATGTTTGACCATTTTTGCTTAATATTCCATCGAGATGTCAACATCCATTAAAAAAATATTATTTAGTATTTCAGTTTTAAAATTTTGCCATTAATCATGGGTTAGGTAACACTTTATATAATTTCCTGGAATAATTGTACTATGTTTTTAACAATCTTCCAGACCAAATTTATTTTAATATAAAGGTGAATAGCACTTTTTCCTTAATTTTTTCAATTCTTTATTTTTCATGTTTTAGTTTTCTTTCTTTTTAAATAATTCAATATATTTCATCGAGAATAAATGTTTTGTTTAGACAAAGAATGACATAAAACATCTTATAGAACTATTCAATAAATATTGGTAACTCTGCTCCCCTCCAACAAACCAAAACTAACTAAGCGGCACTAAATGTACATTTTTATCAGCTGATGGTTTGATAATGATATGTGCCTTTTAGTGAAGAGGCGTATGCCTTTAAAGGAAAAAGCAGGTTTTTAGAAATAATATCTAAATTTAGAGAAACAAGTGGTTTTATCTATATTTAATAATAACTCAAATAGCAGATTGGAGTTGGAGTTTTGGCACAATGCATATGATAGTTTTACAAACCTTATATCACACTTCAGATTTTAGAAACAATAGTTGAACTGAGTTATTGAAAAGTAGTGAAAAAATTGGCTGGTATACTTGTTAGACCTATGTAGTTTTTCGAAACACAGTATTTAAGAAAACCTAAACTTGTAAATACAAGGGACTTAATGAAAGACATTCTCTTATATTCTAAATAATTTTCACTATGGATACTTTTTTATTTGTTTGCTTAAATAACAATGGATTATTACTGATTTTAAAAGAAATAATTGAAATACCTTACAAGTATTAAGGTATAAATGAATGTTATCTGTAAAATATTTTTTAAAAAATATCAATTATTTTATTTTTTGACTTCAAGAAATAACAGTATATAATAGAAAAAACATAGTAATTTTTAATTCATCCAGTCTGTAACCATTAGACTCTGTTATGATTTACTATTTTTTAGGAGCATTGTTTTACTTTTATTACATATTTTAGGATATTTTTGTATACATCTAAAAAAATACACAGTACTTAATGTTTATATTGTTACTAATATAATCATGTATTCTTGTAATGAAAATGAAGGAAATTTTACTTGATAACAAAAACGTTAATAAATTGCATAATTAATTACATGGAATCATATCTCAAAACAATACTAAATTTTAAATTCCAATAATGTGAAGCTCATATGGGGATAAAAAAAAAATTATTAAGTTGGATAATATCATTAATTAACAATAATTATATCAATTATTTATTTGAAGTCACTCATTTGAGGGCTATTTTAAATATTTGCTGTTGGATGCAACACATGCCTCCAAAATCTCTTCAGGAATATGGCAATAAAAATTGTAATCTGACTGCTTTTGACAATTTCAGTCTAGATTCTATTATTGCCTACTATGCAATGTGTTTTTTATTTTAAAAAATACTTCTTTTTCTTTTGATTTAAATTATTTTCTATTAGACCAAAATTTTTCTTGATGTATTATATAATATGTTTGGATATTGATTGGTTCAGACTCTCAGTATTATATAAATTAAACGATTCCTAAAAATTGATCTTAGAGGAAATCTTAGGGCACTATTAACCTTAGATCAAATGTTATAAAATAAACTTTCTGAGCTACTTTACTTCATTTTATGTGTTATAGGCATTTTAAAAATTACGTTAATCTTAGTTATTGAAAATTTTAGAAATAAATGATTTAACCTAAGAAAGTATCCCATAATACATTTGATAAATAATAAAAAAAATCGATTCAATGTATTCATTAAGATAATTTACACATTTGAATATCAGTTTTTTTTTGGTCTAGAATTAGAAATTTTTCTCCCGCTTGTAATGCCCTTGGCTGTGTTATTAAGTTATGATTATTGTGTGTTTGTTTGGTTGTATTAATGTGAAATTGTTATAAAAATTTTGTTTTAACTTAAATAAATTGTTTTGTTAATTCAATTTTAAAAAGCATTAGTATAGTTCAATGGCACTTTTAGTCCTATTATATTAGTTGTACCTAAATTCAATTCTGCTTCCAATTTTCATTTTAATACTTATTTTTAAGTTTTTTATTTTGTTTCTTTTAGTAGTCTGCGCTCATTGTTGGTTTTATTGTAACATTTACCAAAAACTAAATTATAATTTAAGATAGGTTGTAAGTGAAGTACCGTGATATTAAATTAAGTCTTAACTTTTAAAGTATTTTTATTAATATGACTTAAAACTCTAAACATCACAAAACTGCAACAATGTAAAATGACATAACATTAAATAAAGTGTTCCACTATTTCTAATTTATTTATAAGTTATTATTTCTTACAATTCCTGTACCATTGGAATCTTTATTAATTTATATAGAAATTAGGTAAGTGTTTTGGAATGGGTTATAACATTTAAATGTTTGTCTAAAAATGAAAGTTGTAAAATAATTTAATTCTTAAGCTACTCAATTAAAATTGGAAAAATCTAAATATCAAACAATAGTTATGATTCAAACAGAAAGGAAATATAAGAACAATTGAAAGAAATAGGTCTAATAGTTAATTGGAGTTAAAGAATTTTCGTAAATAAAATATTCGTAGGTTAAAATGAGAAGCAGCTACTTAAGAAATACCACGGACTAATTGCTTATCCAAAAGCAGAATGTTTCAATCTCGTAAGATACATGTAAAAGAAATGTTCTTGGAACATGAGCAATGGAGATGAAGTGTGTTGAAACTACTCAGACATGCTCAATTTATGAGGAGCACAGATTCCATTATGAACTAATTGGGCTGATTTTTATTTCAAGATAGTTTCTCAAAATAAATCTTGACCCCACAGACAAGTATCCAGTAAAAAAACTATTTTCTTCTCTATAAGGCTTTAAACCTAATCAGCAACTATTTATTACTATAATCCTAAAAACAAGCACCTTAGGATTAACACTTAAGGAGACAGCCCTGATGGCCTGAACTTCAGGTCGAAACGTCGGCATATGTGAAAATAAATATTATCATTTATTTTTGCCTTCTTTTTTGACTGACCACCCCAACTATTCTTCTCTTCATTTATTACTATAGAGTTGTGTTTTTGTGTTTTATTAAAGACAAAAATACCTTTTTTAGCTATTAAGGGATGGAAAGAAAAATAAATTACAAGATTTTTAATTTAATACAAAAATAAAATTTATTGCAATAAAAACCTATATACATTCTATTTTTAAATACCAACTTGTAATACTTATGATAACACATTAATTGCTATCAATAAAATAAAATACTTTGATGAGTGGGTACCAAAATGTTGGATATATCTTTGAATTTTACACTGATGTCTGAGTCTCGGCAGAAACAAGACCAGATTCTACATTAAGGTTCGCCCAACCAGTTTGAGTTTCGATGTCTGAAAATTCAACAAAGTCACTCAGAAATATATCATCACATGTTTGAGTATAATTGTGACTATACTCATCGATAGCATTTTGTATAGTTTGTGTTTCAGTATTTGAAAGAATGGGTTCAATAAAGGTTTCTCCTAGATCCAGCTCGGTTTGAGTTTCAATACTACAATATTTGGATTCCAGCATGGAGCTTTCAATCAGGCGAACTATCTGATCACTGTAACTTTTGAGACTTTGCTGATCATTAAAAATATCCAAATCAAGGTCTTTTTTCATGTCAAATAATGTTTCCTCTGCGGTTTGTGTGCTAGAAGTATACAGTTGTGGGAGGATGACGTCATCTAATGGGTTCTGAGGGGATTGACTCAACTCTGGGAAGAGGTCATGGAATGTTTGAGTTTGAATGCCAAGTTTGTTCCCTTGTGAACGGTTCTTGTATGATGCAGTCGTTTGAGTTTCTTGAGATATTTTAGCTTTCTTTTCACCAGTTTGTGTTTCTTGTGAGTCACGTTTCTTCAATGATCGTATTGGTGTTCTCCTACGGCTGACAGTTTGGACTTCTTTATCTATGCCACGAACGACTATTTTCCATGATAGTTCACTTAAAGCTGCAGCTGCTATGTTTTCAATTGGATTATTGACTGGTTTTGGGAGAATTGGACATTCTCTCTTCAATGAAGATATTAACTTTATTTGGTGCTTGTTTTTAGGATTCTTAGGGCTGAAAATGAAAAAAACAAGATAAAACCGCATTTTGATTAAAAGTAATAAAATGATAATAATTGTAAAATATAATATATATATATATATATATATATATATATATATATATATTAAAAACTACTTCATAGTTTTTAATACTTAAAAAAAAAAAATTAAATCATAAAATATTTGTTTCATGACATTTTTCTCGTCTCAGCTGACAATATTATTTTTAGGGGTAGTAGAAATAAAATAAATAAAAAGCAAACTTTTTTTTTTCCTGCTATTTAATAAAATAAGTAATGCAAACAAACAAAGGTGAAAAATAAAATAAGCTATAAAGTGTTAAATTACAAAAACTTACTTGTGTTTGGTATTTTTCAATGGAGCCAATTTAAGGTGATTCTTTCTCTTACAATGAGCAGCAAGCGCCATTTGGCTATTGTACATGGCACTACACGACAAACAGGTGAACTTAATGCCACATTCATTATTACAATGATAATTTAAGTCTTTTTCATTAAGGTAACTTTTGTCACATGTTGGACATTTGAATTTCCGTTCTTTATGTACTAGTTGATAATGCTGTAACAAATCCCTAAAATGTAATATAACATCACAAATATGATATATTTTAAAATTGTAATAAAGGGTTAAAAAACGAAACAAGCTTGTTGGTTATCATTAAGAGCATTAAACCTACACCAGTAATTCAATAATGACTAAAATATTAGAATAACACAATAGCTCTAGATTGTATTGTATTACTAAGTAGAATAGGCCATGGTCGCAGTAATTATTATAGTGGCACTTCAATTTTTCATGCTTCAAATCCGACCCATGTTGGTTGACTTCTTGTTGAACATAATGAATCTTCCTTCACCTTTAACTCTGGGTTGAATTGAAGGCCTGTAGGCTAATATATATTTCCTTCCTTACTTATATATAAAGACTTTTGACTACATCAACAAACACTTTGCTGAAATGGAGACTCTGAAAATTACAAATAGGAATAGAATGTTTTTCAAAAAAATGAATAAGATCCCTTTTAGAATGAGACTTAAATTCTGTGGAAAGGATGGCTGACTTCTCACCAATATGAAATATGGGCTAGACATTTTAACGATCTAGTGAATGAGAGAGCGGTTGATTTAGGGCAGAATTATGGTAACCCAAACATTAAGCACGATGATAAAGAAATCGGTTCGTGATTTATTTTATGCAAGATGTTAGATATTATACTACAAATATAAAATAGATTAAACAGTGATAATAAAAATAAATAACCATAAAATAAATTTTAAAAAGAATTTAGTTTCTTTGAGCTGACCGATCGGCCATCATCAGGGCTGCTAGTCTAAAATTCGCAAAATAAGTGCTATTTATTTTGCACTTGTTTATAAGAATTCATAAGGGCAGCCCTGATGAATACCTGCCTACAGCTTAGGCCGAAAAGTCGGCACATAGATATTTTTTTTTTGTACCTTCAATTATATTCCAAACCAAATTGTACTATTCAATCTATAGATACCAATATCTCCACAATTATAAATAACCTGATATTGATTAAATATAGATTACATAATATATATTAAATACCAATGGAGAGTTGAATGGCAGGACAAAACTATAAATCAATCTAATTTTAGTCCACTTGCCTGTTTTAAATATTTTCTTTGAGTAAACCACCTCAATTGATCATCTGATCTTTCTTGATCCATTTCATATTTACATTGTTTCACTGGACAGAAATATCGGAAAGAACAATTATTATTCTTTTTACTCAAAAAGTTGCTATGCTTGGAATGAGTTTTTATTAAGTGCATTTCTAATGTTGAAGTATTAGGAAAGACTGAAGTACAGCCTTTCTCAGTACAATTGATATTAGTAACGATTTCGCTCAATTCTGATTCGGAAGGACATATCTTTACAACTTTCACGGATGAACACATCCTTCAATTACTGAAATAAACAACAAACAATAACATGTCAAAATCTTGAATTAGTTAATTCTACCAAAATACCGAAATTTAAAAAAATATTTCAATGCCAGATAAATCAAAACAAGAAGTAGGTAATATAATTAAATTACGAAGATACCATAATAAAGTTTTATTATTAATTTTTCAAACAGAAAAAAAATCTCATTGTTATGTTACTAACGAAGTGTTTGCAAATAACAAGAATATCTTGTAAGGTAAAACAAGGCAGCATTAACGAGCTCAGGTTATAAAGTTAATTAACCAGTCATGGCTGACATTCGGCTTACTCCCCGTGCTTACTGTAAATTAGTGTTACATGCTGCTAAATATCCCCATTGTGCTGTCAATGGATTGCTATTAGCAGAAACCTCAAAGTTAAAAGACTCTAAAAAAAACAAAGGTTTGACAATAACAGACGTCGTACCCTTATTTCACATATGCCTTCACTTATCACCTATGGCAGAAGTTGCATTGACACAGGTAGTTTTGTGATACTTCAATTATAATGTGTGTTAAATTTGCCTGAAATTTGTTATAACTTCATTAACAATGTTCCCCATTTAGGTTGATACTGTTGGTGCATCTAAGGGTTTTACAATTGCAGGTTATTATACTGCTAATGAAACTTTGGATGACATGAGGTTTGTAAAAGTTATAGCATTTTTTCTTCAATTTATATTATAACAACTTTGTGTTCCAAACCTATTTTGAACTTAGTTATTTTTTTTTTAATCTGATATGACGGGTTTATGATCTAAGATATTACAATCGAAACATTTGTCCTAATAAGTTATCAATTTGTTATCATAGTACAGTATGATAGTATCACTGAACATCCATGGCACTTATTACTCTTACTCAAACTCGAAAGAGTTTGTGCAGTTTTATTTCTAGTGTTATGTCCTCTGCCTGGTTTATTTTGACAGGAAAGAGTTTTGGTAATTATAGGCAGTAATAAACATTGGTAATTATGGTAAGTTCGAAAACTCAGCACTAATGTGATCATTGGATTCCATCAATTGATGGAATCCAGCAGAAATAGATTCGAACGGAAGGATAATACTTCAGGAAGATTACAATGCCCTTGAAAAGTAACTGAATATATATAGAAATACCTAACAACTGAATTGTTGAATTTCTAAACAAATAAATTTAAATAGAAGGTAAATTGAATATAAATATGTAAGGTTTAATGAGTTAAGTGAGGATATAATGAGGTTACAATTCCTACCTACTGAATTGTTGAATTTCAAAACAGAAAGAAATTTAAAATGAATAATTATGTAAGGTAAATTGAGGAATTACAATACTGAGGATATAATGAGTTTACATCCAGCAGATGTATCGACTCCCTAAGTCATTGAGGATTCAATCAATCAATGAATGAAGGAAGGTTTTTAATTCCATAGATCGTTTCCATCAATGATAGTCTGATGGATTTCTTATGTCACTGATGAGCTCAGCACTAAGTTTAGGAACTTGCCCTGTTTTAGCAGTAGTGCTGAACTAAACTCAGTTAGTCAAACATTTCATTTTATTTATGATTATTATTTATTTTAAGTATTATGGCACACTTTATTTTATTTTACAGCATTGAAAAACCAGCCACAAAAATAGCTGATAAAATTGCTGAATCCTTTAATCAAGCCTGTTTAGTTGTGGTAATTATAATTTGTCTTCTTAATATGTGTAGTTGTGAATATAATTATTATAATTAGCTTTAGTAAGATTTTAAAGTAACTAATTCTTGAATTAATATTTGTTATAGGTTGATAACAGAAGATTAACTCTGATAATGGAAGAACCGGCTATTAAGGTCATGCAGATGGTCGACGGGAAGTGGAAACCAGTAGATACTTCCAAGTAATTCAGTTTTTATTGAATTGATTTGTTACAATTATTAGATGGCTTTAATTGATGAGTGACATGAATGATGTCTTCCTCATCAGCTGTATTTCCTGCCATGCCAGTTTGTAGTTAAATTTTTTTAATGATGGTTTATAAGAGCAATGAATTTCATCTAGTTAATCGATTCTTTTCTCTTGTAATAGTTGTTCTCACAAGGTGTATAGCAATGGCTTTTCTAACTTTTTCATACCTAATCGTCTATCTGCTTCACATTTTTTTTTTTTATGCCATTAAATTATGAATTTTTTAAATTATACTTCAATTTGATGAATCCTGTGGATTTAAATGATTGTGTAGATTTGCTTTCCTAATTTTATCCGGTATGGTTTAATCCAATTTAATGGTAAGTCTCATGTTATTGTATTGTAAAATCATATAATTTTGTTAAGGTTTTGATGACAAAATAAATAAAAAATAAACAAATTTAAAGAACTAGATTGAATGGTTGTTACTTTTTACTTGTTTTGATTATATTGTTTAAATCATCTGATTATTTTTTTTCATGAGAAAGATTTAGACAATGAGTATGGAGTTAATTAAATTGGCTTCTAGAATACATGTTTATTATTCGATGTCTATGTAGTGGTTGTCTATATTCTTCTTGTATTGTATAGAGCTATGTTTTTCTATCCCTTTTGTATTCAAAATATATCACCACTGTACAAAAATCATCTTGTCTAGTGGTTCAAGATCCCTTGATTGCCTCATAAATGGAATCCCTCGAATGACCGAGTGTGTTGGAAAGTAGACAGAATTAACTGAATCGTGTGGTATTTGTTTATCCCTTTATATTGGAGCTTTGTTAATCCTTTTAAAGCATGTGTAGCAAGCGGGAGCCGAAAGCAGCAATGTAATTAAAGCTGATTAACATCCTGATTTTAAGTGAAAAGGACCAATAGTTTGCCGAAGTCATAAATTGCGATCTAAATAGAGTTTTTTTTTTTTAAATTTCTTGGCATAAGGCGACTTAAGGGTTTATTGTGCGCCAAAAAGTTAAAAGGGACGTGATACTGTGAACATGTCAATCATCGACTGTTCTAGGAATCTCATTTATGCCACGAACAAGATATCTTGACTCACTAGAGAAGTTAGTATAGTAGTGTATAGTAGTCACTCAAAATATCTACTTCCGTGGTACATCTATCACTTCTCAGTAGGTTTCTTCAACACTACAACAATTATTGTTATTATTAGCTATCTGTTCCATCTTGCTCCTAACTTATCGTTGTTCAGTTTGAGTCAGATATTACCAATTTGAAAATTGCAGAGAAAAGGCAAATTTCACTCACACTAAATGTTCTATAAATTAGCCAACCGTAAGAGAACGTTTAGAAGAAGCATTACGTAAATGCTTTTATATGGAATCAGACTTGAATTCATTGACCAGAGACTGAATGAGAGCTTATAATTTATGTTATTTAATTAACTATTAAAAAATTCTATTGTCTTAAGTCCGGGCTTGTACAATTTTTTTATCTACTAAGACCATTAGTAGATAAATAAATATATGTTGTGACATTGAAATATGTATGAAACTGCATAAGTGACATCTAATTTTTTTTTTTTTTTTTTTTAGTGTTACTTTGGAAGAAAATTGTTTGGAAGCCGTATCAACGCTTCTTCAAAAGAGAGCATTTAATGACCTGGTAGATTTTGATAATCATTTAGATGATTTATCAAAGGACTGGCGGAATCCAGAATTAAATGATAGGATAGAGAAAGCTACACTTAGTGAATAGTGTTATAAGAACTATATTCTTAATTACATTACCAGTTTAAACAATTTTGATTTCAAGTGCCCATTTTGAGAACTTGTGGGATGAAATTCTGCATTTCGCCTCTCCCATCCCGAATCAACGAAACCATTCCGTATAGCCCTTAGCCAAGGGCTTAGCTTCGGCATCAGCCGATCGTCGAGTCTGTGATCTATAGCATGTAGCCTGAAAGGTATTCTAACAAGGTTGACAGCGTTCTGTGAGAATTAGGTTTTATGAAGCCTCTCAAAAATCACTCTATTTTAAAATAATACAATTATGGAAACGTTTATGTGGATAATTTGCTTCCATTATTTGTTTGCAAATATTTGTTATCTTTTATCATATTTGTACTTCATGCAGACTATTTAATTAATGCATTTATCGGGTTAAATCATCTTTTGTTAATGGAAATTTGAAATATAATGATTCTAATTAAGAGAGATGTAAGCCTTTCTAATTTAAATTAACTATTTCTGCTTCTATTGGTTTTATTAACCATTAAATATTTTTTTAAATTCTTATCACTGGTGAATAAAAAAACTTACATCTTTTCATGAAATCAAATTTACAATATTTTTAATTTCTTTATCGCATCTATCAATTGATAAGTGCGAATTTTCATTCATAATTGATCCTAAATTTCAAGTATATACTAATTATTAGTATAATTAATATTTTATCCTGTTAAAAAGGGTATATATTTCATTGTTATAATTTTTTTAAGTGTCAGCAATTGTTATGCTAGTATTTGCAGAATCAAATGTTACTTTCCTTTTATTATGTTTATTTATTGATAAGTTTATTGTACATAATTTGTTGTTAAATAATAAGTTATAATAATTTTAGAAATCGTGTTGCATTTGCAGTTGACATTTTTATAAATTAGGTCACATTTTGTAGAAATAAGTTTTATTCAATTAGCTAGAGCCTAGAGAGAACAAACAAATATTTATTTTTTGTCACTTTTGACATTATCATTGTTTAGGATGTGCATAGATGGGGAACATTTATTAAATTACTTAGTAGAATATTTATAATATTGATTTATTTATTTTATTGGGAAAATTGATATCACCTTTCTATTTAAGACTTTTGTTGTGTTTAAAGCACAAACGAGTTATCTGTTCAATGTTACGGCTTCAATAATCCAAACATTGATAAATAAAGCATTTTATTAAATATTTTTGCTTATACATATGGATACTAGGTTCACATTAAATTTAAAATCTTGAATAAAACATAAATAGGTGGTTATTCACCTATCATAAACTATGTGAAGAATAACAGGAATATTTTCCTTCATTCTGAATAAATATAGACAATTGCTTATTTTTTTATGTTTCATGTCAATTACAATTTTTGTTCTTGTCATAATAATTGCTAGAATATTAATAGTGGTATAAAAAGACTACCGAACAAAAAATTCTATTATAAATATGTTTTAAAAAAATAGAATAATAAATTTCTTTGATGACTGATACTGATAAGTAAGATGACTAATTCTGGTAAGTTGAAAATGATGGAATATTGGGAGTAGAAAAAAAAGTTTACATGTACAAAATTATTTTATATCTATTCTTATTGGATTGTTTTGTTTTCTTTTTATATAACTTTTTTTTGAGCTGTCAATGTACTATTTATGAGAATTATTATTATATTGTCCAGTATTATAATTTTCATTTGAATTTGGAATAATTATTATTTTTTTTTATTTTGTAAGAATAGAATGTACATTATTTACAGATCTATTTGACTCTTTGTTCTGTATTTGTTAAACAGTTCAGTGGAACTTTAAGTCAATATAATCAGGGAAAAAAAATTCACCCATGTCTCGGAATTGACTTGTAATATAGTGATAGTAGAAAAGAATGAGGTTAAAAACTTCATTAAATCGACTTTTAACAAAAGGTAGTTTGATTCAGCATGTTGCTGCATCACACTTAATCCAATATATATATTTCCACTGTAATTGTCTATTATGAAAAAAAAAACTTGATTTGTTTCATTACTTACAAAAAAGGGAATACTTTTAATTGGTTTACAATTTAAATGATGTTCTTATCAAGGGAAGAGAACACTTTATTTAATTATTTGAGGTTTATTTTTTAAATTGGCATTCACAACTAGTACAAAGTTTCTTTTTGTTCTATAAAGGATTGTGTGATTGTAAAAATACCAATAAATTTATGAACAAGCATTTGTTCAATAAATTGAATGAACTTTTTTTCTCCAAACATTCCTTGCAATTATTATGAAGCTCTTAGGAAGAAAATGTTATTTAAAATAACAAAATATTTGAACAATCAGTGTAACAAGAAATCTGACTGGTTCCAATTTGGATTTTATTCTCTAATTTATTTATTCTGTAGTAAAACCTCAACTTTATCAAAATATCTAAGCTATATATTTTTTATGTAATACTTTATCATGAACAAACAAATGTATAATGTTTGCATGTATGATTTAATAGAAAAGTGAAACCTAAATGATTAGTAACTACCAACTCGACTTCTCAGTTCAGTATGAATCTTCGACATACAGTTGTCACATTAATTAATAAAATATTTTAAAATACATTGATATCATTATAATTAACAGTTTAGTACAATTTCTGGATGTTTTTTAAAGCAAGTAAAATTTGTAAGAGAGTTTGGCCCAAAATGATGAAAATTTACAAATGGTAATTACAAATTTACAAAAGATCTGAACAAAAAAATACTTCAAGCTTCCTTTTTATTAAACTAAATAAAAAACAATCGGGGTGTGGGCATCCCAAAACTTTTACTTACCACTATACTTAGGTAGAAATTATTTTTTTTGCAGAATTGGGCTTTTGCAAAGAGTCATTGAAGTGCATTTTTAATGTAGCTAGAAGTTAAAATATTTAATTTCAGTCATATTTATCAATGACACGTCTAAATAACATGAACTGTATTTATTTTGTCAATGGTTGGCCATGAAAACCTTATAACCTCCATCATTCTATTTAAACCACTGAACTCGAATCTCTGAGCTCTACAGGCAAAGAAAGATTTGAAAGAACATAAATATCTAATCTAAAAATAAGTAAGGATTGTATTACTTAGTAAAAATATAGGAACTAAATCTGAACCACTTAGTACATGTTTTTAAACTCTTATAAAACATACCAAAATGGAATTATGAGGCTTTCATTGCCTGCATGCGATAGATCAAAAGTTGTCACACTAAATGTATAAAATTGTGATTTCAGAGGGAAAATTTATACACTGATTATATTTTCTAAAATGTTACTTGAGAATTTTTTGGAATAAATCGATGATGTTTAAATATATTATCAGATCTTAAGTTATTAAACTCTACAGTGAAGGCAAGATTCTAAACTCAATGATTGGTATCAGAAAACCATTAGGCTGTTCCTAAACTCATTGGTTGATCTATAAATGGAATTCAAGAAGTTCCTTTATTCCTCGACTGAATTACCCATGACTCATCGGTTTTCATGGTAGATTGATACACTATATGTAACTTATTATAACCTCAGAGTTTTTACTTCTCAATTTACCTTACAAATCATGTTCAGTTTACTTTCCATCTATAATTATTTCTGTTTTGAAATTCAACAATTCAGTAGGTGAATATTTCCTAATAGATTTTCTATTTGTGAAGTGTTTTGTAACCTTCCATTGTTATCAAGCAGGTTGTTCTTAAAATCAGCATAAACCAGTTGCTGGATTCAATCCATTGATGGAATTAGTTTGGGAACTTTCCTTAAATTTATTTAAGGTTAAAGACATACGTTTTACACATCTGAAATAATGCATATATTTCATTTCTCTCACACAAGGACAATAAAATAGTTTTTCAATAATTTCATTGCCTCGATATTAGTTTCCATGGAAACATTTATTTTCCATTTAATCATATAAATGTAGCCATTATCAATTAAAACTATTAGCCTTTACTATTACTGCCTTATTTTTCATTCTTCGTTCTCTTCACTTTTTGTAAAATCTTCAGCTTTCTAATGATATATACATGTATAAATTAACTCTTTATTTCTGGAAATTCGTGACAAACCTAAAAAATCGTATACTTTTTTTCTCCTTTAGTAAATTATTAAATTGTTTCATAGTTCACATTTATCCATTTTGTATGACTACCAACGATCAGATATCTTTCATTTTTAACAAACAAAATTATAGGTGCATAAGACGAAGAAATTTTGACATTTTAGCTCTGTCAGACATATCAATGATAATAAGGCCATTTAATTTTTACATTGATATAACAATTTGATTCAAAATTGTTCGAATAGTTATTGAGAAAATCGAAAAAATGTGTTTAATCGATAATCTAAATTGGTACTTCTTGTTGTCTGATTTTGATGACAAAGTTGCTGCAACATCCCAGGCATATACATTATTTAAATATGTAATTTCAGTTTTGAACGACTTCATTTTTGAGCAAGACTGTTAACAGACACATAAACACACTGACCGTCTGGCAAAACTTGTGGTTTTGCTCTCAGAAAACTTCTAAAAATATATTTCTGTTGAAAACTCCGATTCCAAATTTTTCATGATTGCAGCACTCCCTAGGTATATATATATATATATATATATATATATATATATATATATATATATATGTATAGTTTGGTAAAAGTACAAAATGGCAGGTTAGTAATAAAAAAACAAAGTATTTTGAATGGATTTAATTTTGGGACCAGATATTATCTGTGATAATTTGGAAGAGAGACATGTATGTACGTAGCTATGAACATAGAACTAATACAAATTTCCAATCATTTGACTTACATTTATATTTTCAAAACAAGCTCCACTTACATTATTTACTCTTACAAAAATAGACATCTAACAAATCATCCTAGTACAAAACAAAATATCTAGGAAATTTACTAAATACTAATTGGTTTATAATTCTAAAATGTAGTCTTAGCTTAGATTCTAAAAAGATACATTCATACTTTTTATTTTGTTCATGGAAAAATGTAGATTACTTAAAGTAATGGAATTATTTGTTAATAATTTAATCTTATTGTGAATAAAAATAAATTTATTTCATATGGATTTCTACAGCTGTGTTTCCACCAAATGGACAAAGAATGTACTTTTTAAAACATTTATGCAGGAGACTGGTTTTGGAAACAACAAATTTTCCCATTCCAAGTTAGAATTTAAAAAAGAAAACAAGTTATACTGTTAAAAAAAAGAAGGAATAATTGGATGGATAGAAATTTCCATTTAGTTTTGTCTACCGCAACAACTATGCTGTGTATTAATTGAGATTTGGATTTTTTTTCTAAATTATTGCAAAGTTTATAAAGGAAATTCTAAATTTTTCTATAAATCTAATGGAACTATGAGGCACAAAGGCCTGTAGTGCTTTGGTACAGTGACTCTCAGTTCCTCTGAAATAAAAAGAAACTACTCTGTTTGATAAAAACAAAATTTTTTTTTTTCTAAAAAACAAGTTTTCTAAACTTGTCTACTTGGAGGAAACCCAGTAGAAGGACAATGAAATATAACCAAAAATCAGATCACTAATAAATTGATACTTAGCTCCAAGAATTCAAACTTTAGTAATTAAGAAACTAATCATAAATGATCATAATTACAGAAATATAAATAATTATAAAAACAACAAAAAAATAATATTTTTAAACTATTGTTACTTATACAGCAAATCTTTATAATCTTGATGCTGTCTTTATAAGACTCAAAGTACTTGGGCAGTACCTCTTGGAAAATGAACTGTTATTTTTTGTATGCAAATGATAATCGCCAACAATATAAAAAAAAAAAATAATAATAAATAATTTTCTACTTATTTAAAACAAAATATTAAAAAAAAATACAGACTAATGGGATCTTGTCATAAATAATTTATAGACCTAATTATTATTAAATAAATTGCAACATCTTTTCTGAAATGATTTTCAAAAAATCCAACCCAATAATTAAGATTTATGAAAAATAAAGGAAATTTTGCTATAAATGAAAATATTTAAATTAAGGTTAATACTAATTTTCATTAATTTTTTTAAGTTAATTTTATATACATAAATGATTAGACTTCAATTTCTATTGTCCTTTTTTCTCCATTTATTTGGAGATTAAATTATACTTTGTTGTTTTGTTATTTTTACACGAATACATTTTTGTTTACATTTATATAAATACATTATTTTTAAATGAATATAATTTTTCAAATTACACACATTACTGACAAAACTATTTTAAATATTTGATCAATGTTGATTACATTTAATTGAATTTTATAAATATCACTTAATTTTATTCAATTAATTACTAAAGACAAAAGTTCTCTTTAAAAAAATAATGAATTTTAATAAAAAGTAGAAAATTAAACGATCTTTCATAGTTGCGAAAATTCAAAAATCAATTCTTACCAGCACATAACTTATTTAACATTTGGAATTCTTTAATAATAAAAGATGCCTAATGCTAAATTATTATTATTATTTGGTGAAATGTGGAACCTTTCAGTATGGTGGTAATATTACTCCAAAATTAGAATCACTTCTTTGTTTCCAATTTTCAGAACAGTGTTTTGTTTTGTAACTAAACTTTAGTTTCATAGAGAAACCAAATCTGTCCTATTATTTTTTGCATATATCATCAAAATATGTATTTTAATATTGGAGAAATGGTGCTATTCCACACATGTAAATTTTTCCCATTTTATAGTACTCCTTATGTAATATAAATTTTAGCAACAGAAATATCTTCCATTCATGAATGTGTGTCTCAATCAGTCAACTAAGGGATGGGGGATAGTCGATAGTACTATTGTTATATCAATAGTTCGTATCATCTTCTTAGACAAATTATTTTCAAATTTTATAAACTTAAACCAATAATTTTAATACATGTCTTCATATTCTACCTAATTATTAATGCACAACATTTAGTGATAATGTTCCAAAACGTCACGTTAAGAAAATAAATGGAAGTGTGAAGGCATGTTTAAAACTATTATTATCAATATATAAAGCTGAAATAATATTGAACAGGAATCATTCTTCAAGGTAAAAACGAATGTTATCTTTACCTCATTTTTATTTTATTTTTTTCATAAAAAAAACAAAACATAAAATCTACAATGATGCCATAGTTTTTATTTAACATATAGTTTTTCATTGATAGTATCGAACTATAAATAGTAGAAAACTATCGACTATCACCCATCCCTAAGTCAACATGATTTTAAAATGTAGGAAAAGAAGCAATGTATTTCCAATACTAACTATGTTCATATCTGGAGATCATTTACTGTATATAAACAATATTATCAAAGTAAATTTAAAAAAAATAGAAACTTGGAAATTAAAAGACACGAATTTCTCTCCTACTTTTTGTACCAAATATGTAGTTTAAACAATACTATGTATCGTTGTAGGTGTTTCTTTGAATTTAACATTCAAATGAATGATATTTATTTTTCTATGTAAATATATTTTCCTGTCAACAATTTTATTAAATTGTTTATTTAATAATTTTTATTAGTGCCAAAATCAACATGAATATTCAAGAATTTATTCACCATTAATGTTGAGCATTGTTATGAAGGTTATTATTGGAAAAATTCATAACCATACAACCTTATGTCTCCGAAATGCAGGCAAAGAATAATCTGCCAACGATTCGCCAATTCGGGCATCATAAGGACAGAAAAAATGCAATTGGATAAAATAGAATATGCGATTGGATATCATGGAGTGATGTTCAATTAGCAGTTTTTTTCAGTCCTGATGGTGCCTGAATTGGCGAAGCGTTGATGGGTTTTCCTTTGCCTGCATTTTGGAAACATAAGGCTGTATGGTTTGGAATTTTTCCGAATTATAACCTAACATTAATTTTCTGTCTCTTGGTTATTTTGTTACTAATTGATAAAAATATTATAATGAAGCTTATGCAGCTTATTTATTAAAAGTAAATGAACAAAGAACAGAGCAAAAATAAATCTTCCTTAAGTCTGTGGTTGGAAGTTACTGAAGTATTGATATAGTTTTTCATTGATTGTACAGAACTATCGATAGTGGAAATCTATCGACTATTGCCCATCCCAAGTCAACTAACAATTTTAAAATGTAAGAAAAGAAGATATGGCAATGTATTTCCTATACTAACAGTATAACTGTCAGGAGATCAATTACAATATATAAATAATTCCAAAAGAAATAAAAAAATAATAATATATTTTGCATAAAATAGGAAAATTTTATTGGCACTTGTTTTGATTATTTAATAGAGAAATGGAAAATAAAGTTTACATATATATATTGTATTGTAATGTAAATATTACATATTGAAATTAATGGATCAATAGAGGGAGAGCGAGAGCCATATACATAAGGGAGACAGTAACCGGCTGGAGAGAAGAAAGGATCTAGACAAAGAAAGAAATTGAGTTTGGGGACTTCATTATGAAAGCTTTTTTTTATATAACAATACTTACTTTTAAAGAAAAGAAAGAAACTAACTACGTATATGAAATCTAAGTGATTTTCGATGTTCTAATAAAATTGTAATTATAGGAACAATGATACTTTAAGAGATAATGTTTTAACTTTTTTTTTTTTCAAAAGACGGTTATATTTAGTAGCTGTACATTTATTATATTTTAAAAAACAAAACATATTGTGATTGTTTAATTATTTCGGTTAGATCACTCACAGTACCAAATATGAAAAAAAAATATATGATTTTTAAATTTCAATTTCTGTTAACTGCATGTACAGATTACCTTTCTTCATCAGAAGCCACATTTTTATACAATAAAAATCCATTTAAATGTCTACTAGCAAAATCAATTAATTTAAATTATTTCTTAGCAAAATGCTTTGACCTATTCTGAATAGAGTACTTGATGAATTTTCAATTTTTATCCATCAGTGAAAAGTATATTATTTATAAAAGAAAAATGCAAAAATCTCCAAATTTTTACGATTCATATTTGCAAAGATAAGTTATGTTAAAGAAAATTGGAGTGGGAAAGCCAGTGGGACTGAATTTGATAGCTTCTAATTCATAGAATGGGAATGTCTAACACAAGTATATTGTTTCCAGCTTCAAAACTTCTTTCAAAGAAATATCTTACCGTTTTTTTTTTTTCACACTGTCTTTGGGAATAAACATATTTAGTTAAAAAGGATTTTAAAAGACCTTCTAAATAAATAGAATAAGCTTTCCATAAAAATAGAGAAACAACATACCAAGAAGTCACGCTGAGGACTACCTTCCACTCCTCCAACCCCCAAGTGGATAAATAAATATGATACTTTTTATTATTTAAAATTCACAGTCTCAAACTTATACATGTTTTTTATCACATGAATTATATTGCTGTTTACTTTTTTTTTCTCATTTAAATATTCCATTTATTTTATTTCAGGTGAAATACCACACAGAATACAAAGAATTTATCAAATATATCAAATCAGATTAAAAATATTAGGCCTAAACAAATAAGTCAAAGTTCCTACATAAGATAGAAAAAATATCTATCATTAACTATTATAATGATATCTTCATATATTTACCCTGAAGAAATATATAGAGAAGTCTACTTCTACAAGAAAATACCATTCACAATGTTTACAAATTTAGATGAAAAATTTACCAAATAAATAATATTTTAAAAAGGAAGAATATCGATCAAATGCTAGAGTTGAGAAAGAAAGTTACTAATAATTTATTGAGGCCCAAAGCCTCTAATGGATGTCATTTTTAATAACTAATTGGACTATTATAATGGAACTTTCATAATTTTGGAACTAATTTCTTAGGACTCTGTAATATATATTTAGTGTCTTACTGAAATCTGAAATATGAATAATGTAATTATTAATTTTTAGTATGCATTAGGTAAGGGAATGATTGCATTTGATGTTCACATAACATTTTTTTCTATAAACTTTTTTTTTAATGAATAATTTTACATTTTGTCACAACTAAAGACAGTAATAGTGATACAGGAGCTCAACACATAACTAATAGAATAAAAAAAAAAGAGTAAAGGGTAATTTAAAAAAAATATAGTAATAAGTTGTGTTAACAATAAATTTTATCATTAACTTGTCTTGTGACAAATTATTATAAAAGTAATGTGTTACTATAATTTAGCCACATCATATACAGCAGTACATGTATGAAAAATCACAAATTATCATTTTTAAAAATATTAATTCCGATAGCGTTATTAACTGAACTAAAGTTTTAATTAAAATATAAAGAAGAATGGAATGTGGTAAAACAAAGTAGAAAACATTATAGTACATTCCCATAGATTGTTCAAAGAAAAATTTAAAGTTGTTTCATAATTATAATTTATTCAAATCATCTGAATACCAGGATTCACTGCCCAAGAGACTTGTTGAGGCTGACGACGAAGACAGCATCGTGGAGCCAATAGTAGGCCTGGTTGAGATCGCCCTGGCAGAGGTATGGCAGTCTGGTCCAAGCTTCCACTTTGAAGCCTTCCACTTCCAGGACATCTTCTATAACGCTCGTCACCTGATCTTCAAAATATTTACCAGTTATGGGTAGTTCCTCGCTCGGTTTGTTGTCCTTTGTCCCTGATTGAACAAACATTTTGATTTAATCTAACAAATCAAACATAAAAATACCAAACTACAAGTGTGTAATGAATGAACTTTCAAATGAATTTACAATGAAATATCACTTTATTTACTCTGATTTGATTCATAAGAATAATTTACAAATTTAATGTAAAAATAACAAGGAAAGAAAAATTATAATAATTCATGAATAATAAATAGAAGTGTTCGTATTTTTGTTATTCTTCAGCTTTATAATGGCCGCCTCGAGTTCATCCTCATCTGGTGGTTCTGCATCGTTTGGGAGGTCTTTAGCTTCTGCATCGTCTTGATGAAGGACTTTTCCATAGTAGTGGCTCCATCTCTCCAGGATTTCTCCTTTTTCAGTCAGGAGATTTCCATCTATATCCTTGCAGCAGGCAACCCTCGGTTTGAAAACCGACCTCCCTTCATTCACCTTCTTGAAGAATAACCTACTTTCATGAAGAGTTCTGTGGGTCTCAACGTCCTCCATTCTTTTGTTCTCCCATGTTCTTTTCTTTATGTGGTGAGTCTTCTTTTCTTCCCTCCTCCTGTTTCTATACTCCGCTTGTGATTGCCGGGTGTAATGCTGGATCATCTTCTTATATGCCTCGTTCTTTTGGGTTATGAGTTCTAGGCATTCATTGTCGAACCACTGTGTCCTGTCATTCCTTGTTTGAGCTCCGAGCGTCTCCTTCGCTGTATCTTTGAGAGCTTCTGCTATTCCTGCCCACTAGTCATCTAATGTTTCGGCTCTCTCTCACAGCTCCTCCGCCAGTTTAACTTCCAAGTGCTGCCGGTATGTTGTGCACTGTTCCGTGTTTTTTAGTTTGGAGACGTTATATTTCTATTGGGTCGGACCAGCTGCTACACATCTCTTCATTGATATTCGTGGGCGGATTTCCTTGCAATGCTCAAGAAATGATCCGAGTCAACATTTGCGCCCCTATAGAGAGTCTACAGTTAAAGTAACTCCAATAAGGTTAGATCTGTGGCGTGAGCTAATCATAATGTGGTCTATTTGGTTCATGACTGTTCCATTTGGTGATCTCCAAGTGGCTTTGTGGATGTTCTTGCCCAGAAACAATGTGCTGCCAATGACTACCTGTGCTGCAGCAAAGTCTATGAGCCTTTGGCCATTCTCATTTGTGCTCTTATGTAGACTAAAGGCTCCCGTTGTTGGATGATAAATAGTTTTCTGACCAATTTGGGCATTAAGATCAGCAAGAATGATCTTGTTATCATTTTCGGGGCAGCTCCTGAAAGTGCTTGCCAATGCTTCGTAGAAGATATCCTTATCCTTGTCTGATGAAACTTCAGTTGATGCGTGTCAGTTGATAATAGAGATATTGAAGAATCTTCTCCTGATGCGCATTTAACACAGTCATGGGGAGATAGGCTTGAACTTAAGGATAAGCTGACGTGCCATTCCTCTAACTAGAAATCCTATGCCAAAGGCGTGTTTGCTTTCATGGCAACTATACTATATAGTGTGGAATCTCTTTTCTAGCGAGCCACATCCGAGCCAACGGACCTCCTGGATTGCTGTAATGACTACGAGGTATTCGTCCAGTTCTGCTAGGAGCGCCCGAAAGCCTCCTGGTCTATATAGTGATAAAATATTCCAATAGGCTAATCTTAGGTCATTATGGCGGTTCCTGAGTCTATTCCTTAAATTTAGTCCGGCTTCTGTACTTTGTGTAGAGGGGCTACCTCCTATAAGCGTCGTGATACACTCCCCCATCCAGGGTGGCTACACAGTGTTCCCTGTGTAGTGTGATTTAGTGTGAGTGTTCCCCCAATCTGGAGGACCTTTAACCTTTGATTTGGTGGTGGAGCGAGCAGAGCGTAGATCGGGAATCCAAACAAGAACCACTCTATTCAACAGTTTGGTTCAGTTACTAGGGTATGCAGATGACTTCGATAAAGCTGCCAGATCGCAGCGTGCCCTAAGAGAAGCGTTCTTGGCTCTAGAACAAGAAGCGAAAATTCTTGGCTTGGTCATCAATGAAGCCAAGACAAAGTATTTAAGAATCGGACCATCCGAGGCGGAGACAGATTTCTTTGAAGTTGGACCATACACATTTGAGAGGGTGCAAAGTTTCATATACCTGTGTTCAGAAATAAACAGCTAAAACAACCTATCCCAGGAGATTAACCTGAGAATTGCCGCAGCCAATCAAAGCTAATTTGGGCTAGCAAAGTACTTCAAGAGCAGAATTCTCTCTGACAAGACTAAGATTGGCCTATATAAGACTCTGATTCGTCCAGTTCTTATGTATGGGTCAGAGACCTGGGCCTTCACTAGAGCTAATGAGAACCTCCTTCTGGTGTTGGAACGGAAGATATTGGGAAGTATTTTCGGACCGGTTCGAGAGTGAGACCCCTGGTAAAGGAGGAAGAACCAGGAACTATCAAGGCTTTACAGAAACCCTGATATCATTAAGTATATTAAGATTGGAAGACTTCATTAGGACATTGGCTGAAGAGCTTCATGGCAGGCGAAGAGTGGGTAGGCCAAATGTGAGGTGGGCTGACTCTGTCACAGCGGACGCACACATGTAGGTATATATGTATGTTCGTATTTTATGACTTAACTCCATCATTTAATTAAATTTTACAAAAATCACTTAGAACTTCCATTAAACTCATTAATGTATCAACTGAATTCAAAATAGCTCTACCTAAAGGAAATAGATATATTTGTTACAAAATATATGAAAATAAACCAATGTACAAAGGGATTAAAAGGGATAAAATAAACACAAGGACAAAATTTGACATCTTGGTAATCATTATACGTGAATTTCCTCTAGCCTTTAGGAGTCAAGATCCAATATTATTAGGTTTCCTTAAAATGAAAAAGAAAGAAAACAAGATAAAATAAGAAAATTAAAATAATATCTATTCAAAAACATAATTTGTTTATTAAAGGAAAGTGAATTGATATCTTGTCTGTTTTTGACAATTTGTCATATTATAACATAGTAAAGCAAATAATTTTAATTAACATAAATAATGAAGATATATTTCTTATTCTCCTATGATTATAGATGTATTTCACTAACAGATGATAAAGACAAGTTTAGTTAAATAACCTGTTCTTTCACTATAATTATCATAAAATAAGTTATATTTCTGAACAATGCAACTTCTGAATGTACTCATCTAATATTAGAGTCTGTGCATTTTAAGCCTCAGAAACCCATAGCTCCATATGCCTTTACTAAGGAGGTATAGGAAATATTTAACCTACTTAATCCAGAAATAAAAATAAAGATTCCATAATCTCACCAGTTTCCACATATGGTTTAAAAGGAAGTACAATAGCAATGATAGCCTTAGCGTTGGGTTTCAGTGCTGCTTTGATCTGACGGAGCAGGCTCACTGGCTTATCACAGCGGTCCAGCACGTTGAGGCATGAGATCATGTCATATTGCCTTTTGAACCATGTGTCCACTTCAGCCATCCTTTAAAATTAAATACATCAGTGAAAAACAAGAAGATTTTATATGTTTCTTGTCTAATATTTATGATTAAGATAGATTCAGATAACAAGGAGCAATAGATAAATATTTTCAATTATGATTGAGGTCCTTAAGATGAAGAAGTCTCAAAACATTGACAAACAAATTGAGACTTGTTAAAAATAAAATGTTAAAAAGGAAGAGTTTCATTCACCTATACTTATTAAAAATTATAAATAATTTTGTCAACATTGTAACAAAATAAAGCCAATATCAATTACTGAATTTTAGAAGAATTAAAAAAAAATCATACATCACTAACTTTAAAAATAAATAAATTATATTTACAGATATATAATCTTTAAAAAAAAATGTTATAAATTGAGATATTTTCTTTAAAAGGTCCATGGCAGAACTTTTTACAAATATATTATTATCATTCTTTTATTTTATTTTTATGTAACATGATAGTACGAGGATTCTCACCCTCAAAAGTTATAGGTCAAAACTGATTTGTAATAATTTAATAATTTCAGGACAAAGAAGAAAATTTTTGCCACAACAAGTATTTAAATCAATAATTTCTTTTTTATATATTATTTATTTACTTGTGCTAATATGTACATAGGTACATATTCTATAACATGTACATATTCTATACCAATATAGAGAGATATTACTTTAAAACTATATATTATATTTCACCATTTGACAATAATCATTTATGTTTTTATTTTAAAACCTTGGAATTATTTGTGTTTTTAAAGTGTTGTTTAGAGTGTAAATATGCTCTCTGAACACTATTATAAATGTCCTTAATTGTGACAGATTATAATATCTCTCAATAAATATGTTTAAAAAATTGTGGAAAAAAAATAAAATAATTAAATATGTTTTATCCAGCATTCTTCTATTTTGACGGTAAATCAGCTGGTACACATGGAAGAAAAATATGACAAATTTAAAAGGGTACCAAGTGTTTGGTTATTGATATAATTAATACTTTGTCAGATGGGTAACACATGGCTAATATTAATTTAGGTATATGCATATTCCATAAATTGACTCATACAACATTAGTAAAAATATTATTGTACTAAAACTGAACTAAACGTGTGGATAAAAATTCAGTAGAGACCTATAAAAAATAAAATGAGTTTAAAGACAGGAATGGATGTATGCAGAATGTTAGTGCAACGTTGAGTTATATTAAGTCAGTTGCCAGACCATTGGCCATGAAAAACAGATCCCTTTAATGTCTTATGGTCCGTCTTTATGGGGGTCCTTGCCCTACCTCAACCCCCGTTACCAAGTATGGAATATGTCTTTCATCGCTATGTCAAGTGTCTTGCCTCATAGAGCAATGCTTTTGTATTTTTCTCTAGAGAAATCTCAAAAACGAGAAAGGTTCAAAATTTAAAATCACAATTGAAACTGTAAGAACAAACATGAGGTATTGAAAAAGTTTTTGAAAACTTGAAACAACTTCCGCAGCCAACAAAAGTAAAATTAAAAAAGTGAGAAGTAAAATTATCACAAAACTATTAAATGCTAATCAGCGTTTAGGACCACCTTCTTAAGGGCTACAAATACAAGCATGAGCCCATGATGGCTGAGCGTGTTGAGGCGTTGCTCCCTTTAATATTCTCGAGTCTAGCGGCGCCAATTGGAAGTCGGCGTAGGAAGGTTTAAATTTATCTTAATCCCACTCTGGTTAGACTAGGTATGGTTGTGCTTCTAGAATAAACTCTGCTAAACAGGGAGGCTTGAAATGGCGAGGTAGAGGGTAATCGAAAAATGTTTGTACCAACCAGGAGGAAAATCTTATAAATAGGAGAAGAAAAAAGATAAAATTGTTTAATAGGTAAAATAAAAAAAGAAATTAAGGCAGTACATCCGATGGAATTAAATATGGAAGACAAAATGCGTATAATTACTGCATTTAATTCTTTATTGTGATTTTTATGCCAGTATTTAGTTCTGTCAGATTTACGGACGGGGGAATTACGCCAAATTAAAAGTCCCACTGGGTAATGCGAAACTCGTAATTATTTTTCCAGTTATCAGGTTGGGGGCAACACGCGGTGCTGTGTTCACGAGTTAGCTCTCTCGGCCACCCCAACCGTGACATTCCCACTCTGGTAAGAATGCGGCGACAACCTCATGGTACTAGTCAGGTGTTGGCAAAAATAATCATATGGTCAACTTGCCGGACTAGTTTCTCCCATTGGGCACCAGTATCAGCACTTTTATTTTATATCTTTCATAGATTTTAAATTGCAATAGGGCCATTAGCGTTGTCAAAAATCGGACATGCACATTGCAAGACCGAGACCGCCTAATTGTTGCAAAGAAAGACCAAGATTGGTAAAAAAAAAAAAAAAAATAATAATAATAATATCTTTATTTTTTAAAAAGTTATTAAATTTCTGACAAAATCATAAAATAAAATAAAAAATGGGTTACATTGGACCAGTTTTAGTTTTTTAGCAATATTACAGTGATTTGAATTATATACACTGATTTTAATAATTGTTCACTTGCCCAATTGCGTTGCTTTAGTTCATCAAAGAAATCGTACTCTAATGATTTGTCTGATCGGTTAACGGGAAAATTAGTCTAATTCAATTGTATTATTTTTAAAGAACATATTTAAAATTGTTAAAATCGGTAGGAAAATCATGTGAGTGGAAACACCAGATTTTTATTTAAATAATTGGTGACATTGTACCATAGGGGGAGAGGGAGGTCACGTGCTTCTCGTGTCACTTCCACATCGCGCTCATTCTTATCACAATTATAAATTATGCTGTTCTGTACATTCTTTCTACCTTTGGTAGAATGTCAATTTATTTTAGCAAGCCTTTTTTAGTATATGTCATCTATCTAGTTTATGTAATTTTTTGGATTTCTAATAATACGAGCGTCCACTATTTTCTATAGGTGGGGGGGGGGAGGAGCGCTTTGGATCCATATACTGTCTAATTTGAGATTAAGCATCAAGTTTATGTAACTTATTTGAATTCTTAGATATACGGATCCACTATTTTCTAGTCGCCGGAGATTTTTATGAATATACTGTCTGATTTAAAATTGTTCGTCGATTTTTTGTAGATTTTTGGATTTCTTAGATATAAGAGTCCACCACGGGCGGATCTACGGGGGGGGGAGGGCTTTCGGGCTGAAGCCCCCCCCAAAATGGTAAAATATAGCCACGTTTTATCGAAAAATATATTAAAATATTATCTCTTAAAGTATTATTGTTCGTGTAATTACATTTCAAAGGACTTAAGGAATCACTTAAACACCATTTCATACAGATATTTTGTTTCTTTCTTTTTTTCCAAAGTAATTATCGTCATTTTTATGAAAAAAAAAGCTTTCGGGCTGAAGCGCCCCCCAAAATTAAATTCTGGATCCGCTAGTGGAGTCCACTATTAAGTTGTCAAGGACGCTTTTTATAAAAGTAATGTCAGATTAAAGATTTATGAATATATTGATAATTCCAAGATAATGAATAATGAAAATCATCAATAAGAAAAATAATAGCAGTGAAATAGCATTCAGAGATGTAATAATTAAAGATTTTTATCTGTTACTATTTCTTTTTTACAGATCTATAATATATGTATAAGTTCAATTCAGGTTTCATGTGTAGCCTAACTTTCGAATGTAAGTCGGCTCCTGCTATAGAACTGAACATGGTTAAGGTTATAGAAGTACTTAAATGGCGAAAAAGTTAATAGTAACTGGTTCAAGAGATCGGTCGCCCACGTTCCCTTTCGAATAAACCCGAACGCATTCGGGATTCCAGGAACAAGTGTGACCGAAGTGATTGTGAACTATGCGTAATCAGTGCGGAACTCTTGTGAACTAGACCTATATATATATATTACTTGTACAGAACAGCATAATTTATAATTGTGATAAGAATGAGCGTGATGTGGAAGTGCATGAGAAGCACGTGACCTCCCTCTTCCCCTTCAATTGAAATAAATTAAAACTTTTATGGATTGGCAAAAATTAGAAAATTGTAGAAAACTTATAAGAAAGATGTCAATACACTCTCCCTCCCCCGATTTTTCACACTCAACAAAATGTTTCCCTATTAAGCGACTCATTGCACATTAAACGATGCACCCTTTGCTGGAGGTAGTCTTTCAATAACTGATTCGTTTAATCTAATCAATGAATTATAAATAGTTACAAAAGCGCTGATAAAAATGATTCTTGTATAGGAATATTCTCCAAGTTTAGAGGAGAAACTTTTTGCAATAAAAGGCGGGGGTGATAACTCGGAAACAAGGATAAAGATAACCCAAAGGACCCCGAGGGACGTCGCCAGCCATGTTATATGATAATAGCAGGCGCGCTACACTTAAGCCCGCAGAATTTCCCTCCAAAAAAATAGGCGGGTAATGTATGGGGGAGGGATGGAGGGTAAACAGGAGAGATAAGGCGGGGTGTGATGTGGCCATTAGGGGGGGAGGCGTGGCCCGATATGCAAAAGTGAGCGATGACCTCCTTCCATTATACCTCGCTGGACACTTCAAAAACTACCTCTCTGCCTCGAGGGTACCTCTATGGCCTCTTCCTTTATCGCTATGGTTAATGGTGCCCTCTATGCTCTCGTAAATACGGCATTGCAGGTGTCCCACTTTTTTGTAGTTCTGTTATTTTTGTCTTGTTTGCTATCGGATGATATTTTCAACGGTTTATAAAAGGGACACGTGCAACAAACGTTTACTTAATATTAAACAACAAGATTACATCATAGTATATGAACAAACGAATACTACATGCAGACCTAGAGGTCCGTAGACATTCAATAACATTGCCAATGATGTTCAATGGAGCAACCAATCCATTAGTATCAAGACATTGATAGAAGTTTTAATTGAGTTAGACACAGTGCCGGACTTGGACAAACATATATAAATATAAATTTAATGAAACATATAAATGAAAACATTTAATGAAACATATAAATCAAAATTCAAAC